TACGTATAATGATTAAACATACATACAATTTAGACCTCTTTTAGGAGTGAGTTAGTTAGTGAGTAATATGAAATATTATTCTGAAAATTCATTTCTCAATTTTCACCCACTACACGCTACCTCAAATTAATGAGGAAAAAATTGTTGCTGCTGTCACACCCCCGCCGGGAATCGAACTCAGGAACTTTGGCTTTACGCACCAATGCTCTGACCACAAAGCTACGATCTCTCGTAATGCCAAAGGTCCCGGGTTCGATTCCCGGCGGGGGTGTAACAACAGCAACAGTTTTTCCCTCATTAATTTGAGGTTATCTGTAGTGGGTGAAAATTCAGAAATTAATTTTCAGAATAATAATATTTCATATTACGTATAATGAGTTAAATAAGTAATAGATATGATTTGCATATTCTTTTTACTAATCCTTAAAAATCTAATATTTGTAACTGAAATTGTCCGAAACTATCGTATAGTCGGAAATAATTTCATATTCAAAATATCCCTGCATCAAAAGACGAAATCATCTCTTGAAAAATACAACGTGTTACGTATTGGGAAATTCTTGCAAATACCTTTAGCCATATAAGCCCAACAAATTCACTTTAGAGCTTTTGAGGGATATTTAGCTTTATTCAAAAGACATTTCAGTTAGTTCAGGACATGTGTAATGTAGAATTTCTAATATGTTCGGTAAACATCTTTCCTTATCTGTATAGAACTCCTGACATTAGCACGAACACGTTTGATAATGTTTGATGTACAGCTTTACGCTATGTATGACTTGCAATACAGCCATGCTTCACTTGTCCCATTTTACAACCAAAGTGACTTGTTAATTACATGCCTCTTACACTGGCTAAATAATAAATTGTCGCCTGTGGTAGCGTTTGTAATTACATACATACTAAGCACGCAAACTTTCGATTACAGTCTGTTCACCAGAAAATTCGTAAATTTTGTGGATTTATCTTTTTATCTCTGTAACCGCAAATCAGATTAGAAATTTAAGTAATAACAGAGGACCACAACAAGGACATAAATAATATATAAATCCATAGTTATTACAAAATTTTGAAGAACTTTTGGTAAAGGTCTAGATGATGGCCCCTTCGGGGGTGGGGATGGGGGGATCGAAGAAGGAGGTCTCCCCCACCATAAAAAGTTCGTGGCGGTCTCACCCCCATACAAAGTTATAGGGGTTCAAAGTTAATAAATATGCCAATTTTTATACATTTCTAGGCATGTAAATATTTATATAGTCATTCTTAAACATTATTCCGTGGTAAAGGTCTAGATGATGGCCCCCACACCAAAGGGGGTGGGGGGATCGAAAGAGGGGATCTCCCCCACCACTCCACCATAAAAAGTTCGTGGCGATCTCACCCTCATAAAAAGTTATGAGGATTTAAAGTTAATAAATATGCCAATTTTTATACATTTCTGGGCATGTAAATATTTATATAATCATTCTTAAACAATATTCAAAGGTAAAACTAATGAAAAATACATAAAAATATTGAGAAAGTTATATAAAACATTATTTAAATATCTTTATCAATAGGGTAGGTTAGGTTAGGTTAGGTTAGGTTATCGGGTTTTGTTCAAGTGACCACCCTCTTTCGATCCCCCACCTCCATCCGCTTGAAAATAATTTTTTTATTGAATTTTATTTGAATTATAGTGTATAAAAATTGTCAAAATAATCAACTTTCAACCCCCATAACTTTTTATGGGGGTGAGACCGCCGCAAATTTTTTATGGGGTTTTACTCAGGCGGCCACCTTCTTTCAATTCCCCTACCCTCTTTCGATTCCGATCCCCCTACCCCCCATCTAACCCCCATAACTTCTTATGGGGGTGAGACCGCCACGAACTTTTTATGGTACAGTGGTGGGGGAGACCTCTTCTTTCGATCCCACCCACCCCGAAGGGGGTGGGGGCCATCATCTAGACATTTACCGAACTTTTACAAGGAGGACTTAAATAAAAGGGAAGCGATGTTGAGAAAATAGTGTCGTATGAAAATAAAATAAAGTAAAACAAAAATACTGGTATGCACGGGAAGAAATTTCTTTCTATTAAAGAGTGAAATCAATAAGAAATTGACGAGATAATTTGGTAGAACACCTCAGGCATAAAGGGCAAGTTGGAGACATATTAGAAGCAGAAACAGGAGTTAAGAGGAGTAGAGGTAAACCTAGATTAGATGACTGTTCACCTTAAACTGATTATGATAAGAGCCTTTCCCCCTAACCCTTGAAACTATACTGGAAACAAAAAGGTCTCGAAGAAGCTAAAATTTAAATTACTTTTTACAAACCCGTTTCCCGATAACGTGTTTCCTTCCTGTAATCGTTCCATTGGGGACTGATCGGGATATATTCTATCACATCCTCTAGACGCTAGTCAGTTTGAGAAGGATTAAGGGATAAAGTCAGAACCAGGGCTGGATTTAGGGTTGTAATCAAAATGTAATTCACTCTCTAGCTAAGGAAAATTTTCTGGCAAAATATAGTCATAATTTAGTTATGTTAATAAGCTAGTGATAAAATAGGTAATTCCTGAAGGATAAAAGAAGGAATGTATATTCAAAAAGATCGAATTTACGCAAGTTAAAATGAAAACAAATATCAGTATTTTTAGTTTGCCTTTTATGAGAACGAATGAATTTTTGTGATTAATGGCCGAAGTCCAGAGAGTCCAGAGAGAGTTCGAATAATGTTGACCGTGAGAGCCTTTTCATTTAAATGCTTACTAATAAATATTTTGCAATTGCTGTATTTTAGCTAATTGTATCTAATTGTTATTGGCCTTCGCGTTTAATGACGACCAAACTTACGGCTAGATTTACTTGCCCTTCACTATTGTCTGGCCAGTAGTATAATTATTGTTTGTTTATATAACAATAATAAATTGAATTCCTGGTAGGATAATTTTTATTTTCTCTATGCATCATTCTTATTTATAACATGTACTTACTTTACGTGTACATACAGGTATCTCGTCTCCTTCAAAGTAGAACACAAATAAGAAATAAACGGGGAACAGAATTTCTTTTTGTAAACACAGAGAGAGGTACATTGTTTACTTTTAGAAATCAAGTAGGATATTATTACAATTCCTTTGAGGAATAAGAGCTCCTTGTAGTTTTCCCTGGAGACTGTACTTATTATTGACATGGACCTGTACGAATCGCTGAGTTCACAAATTCGCAATTCCATTTCACGGTAAAGAAGCACACAACCAAAAGGAAAGTTTAAAAAAAGTAAAAACCAAAACAGATTATAATTTAACCGCTGTAGGATTGAAAAGTTACTTATGATGTTGCAGGCACACAAAAATGTCATAAGAAACTAATATACGAAGATCAAGCAAACGCTATTAATATCATCATCATCATCTTCATAAGGTCGTCAGTTCTAAGACTCCACTCTTTCCTATCCTGAGCTAATCTTCGCATTTCCTTAAAACTAAAACATCCTACATCCTTAACTATTTGCGAACAGTAATCCAACCTAGGTCTACCTCTACCCCTCCTAACTCCTGTTTCTTCCTCTAATATGTCTCTGACTAGACCTTCATGCCTGAGAAGGTGTCCTACCAACGTATCTCGTCTATTTTTTATTGGCTTTCATAGAGTCCTCTGTTCTCCTATTCCTTCTAATACCTCTTCATTTCTAACCTTCTCTATCCACGGTATCCTCATCATTCGCCGGTAACATCACATTTCGAACGCTTCTAACCTTTTTTCTGTCGCACCCACCATTCATGTTTCGCACCCGTACAGCGCCGCTCTCCAAACATACACCTTCAACAATCATTTTCGAATTTCTCTGTTCTATCCTCTGCTTTATATCTCCTTCCGTCCTAACTTACCTGACTTCTTAAAATACGTAAAGTCAGCCTTCTAATCTTTCGTCTCCTATCTTTACATTCGCTTTTTCCCTACTTTTTCTTCCTTTGCATACCAGTATTTTTATTTTATTTTTATTTATTTTCATACAACACTGTTTTGTCTATACCGATTCCATTTTATTTAAAGCTATCTCTAACTCCTCCTTGCTAGAAGCTAATACTGCTATTTCATCTGCAAATCTAAGCATACTAATCTTTTTCCCCTGTATATCTCTCCCTACAGTTGTATTGTCTTTAATGATGTTGATCGCGTCTTCGATATATAGATTTTAAAAGTAGCGGTGACAGTGTACATCCTTGTCTAACTCCTTTCCTAATATTTACTTCTCTACGTTGCTACTCCAGCTCTATAACTTGCCTGTTGCTCTTTATACAAACGAAGTATCACTCTTCTACTTCTGTAACTCATCCCTACATTTTCAATTATATTTAACATCTTGTCCCAGTTAACATTGTCAAATGCTTTTTGTGAACCTACAAATCCTATGTACGCGTTCATTCCTTTTTCAATCGTTTTCTCTATTTTTACCCTTAATGCTAGAATGACCTCCCGCGTTCCTCTATTTCTTCTAAACCCAAATTGATCTTCCCCTAATAGTTCTTCCGCACTTTTTTCCATTCTCCTCTGTACAATTGCAGTTAACATTTTTGACGCATGGAAATTTCTCGACCAACTCTTTCCTGTTTTCAATTGCATTTTATTTATTAACGCAGTTTTCACAGCTTTTATTACTCTTATTATTATTTATTTCATACGCATCGTGGAAAATTTTCGAGCGGTTCTCCTTCCTGTATTCAATCTATCTTTCTTAGTTTGAAAAGAAATATAGAACGTAACGACTATTCTAAATTAATAACTTCGCTAATTGGTTTTAACGGTTCACAATTTATTTTCATTTAGTCTCTCCAGATGCGTCCAGATTAATTTACCAATCGTATGTAACGTTTGTCGAACAAATCTCCAGTAGCACTCGGTCGGTATTTTATTGTTTGTTGAAGAATTGTTTTTACAAATGATAAGCCGAAAAGAGATACAGATAACATGAGACAAATGTAAATGTACGCGTGTAGATAATTGTCGCTCATCATATTTAGTCTCTTATTGTAGTCTGCGACTGATATTATTTTAGAATATGATACTTTCGTGTTCTTGGAGCTAGTGATACTATTAATATGTAGATATGTAAGATATGGTGTTAATTAATGCAGTGTGAAACGTTTCCATTTGAACCAATGGCATAATGACCCTGACGAAAAATTTCACCAGACTTTCTCAAGCTCTCGGTGACAGTTTACAGGAACTTAATCCAAAAAAATTGTTGTGCTATCTTGAAACAAATGAAAGGGTATGTAATGGTTTCTTTTGTTTTTTAAAATTGAAGGTTTTTAAGTCAAAAATTTATAACATTAACACAAACATAAATATGAGATCATCTTTACTATAAACTTTAAGTAGATAGAGATCTGTTAGCTCCTATTTACTTTATAATTTTAAGGAGTATAAGTTTTCTGTAATAATATATGTATATTTCTGAGACCGCCAGACATAAGGTTAAGAAAACAAAATGCTTTTGAAACCTCGTCCTTCAAATTGGTTATTATTTGTCTTTGAGGAAAGTCAATGTGTTTTCTTTTGAAGTAGGAAAACATATTAAAATCTTTCTTATGTTATACCTAAAATATTCTATTTGTCCAACAAAAACCTATAACCTTTTGAAGTAACATAAATAGTAGCAACTCTATAGAAGTCAATGAGATAGGTTGGTAGGACACCTTCTCAGGCATAAAGGGCTAGTTAAAGACATATTAGCGTCAGAAACAGGAGTTAAGAGGAGTAGAGTTAGATTAGATTACTGTTCATAAATGGTTAAGGAAAATGCGAAGATTAGCTCGGGATAGGAAACAGTGGAGATCCAATCGGTCTTAGGATTAACGATCCTATAATGGATCATGATGATAACCTTTTAAAATGAATTAACCGATCAAGTTTATGTTATCTTATAGACACAATAAATCTTTTTCAATTTGTTTCAATAAAACCACTGTATAACTCTTGTAACCGTTATTTTAATTAATATTTAAAACTTTTCATGATGAAGGAATCTATTAGCTTAAAATAAGTCATCATCNAAGAGGAGTAGAGTTAGTTTAGATTACTGCTCATAAATGGTTAAGGAAAATGCGAAGATTAGCTCAGGATAGAAAACAGTGGAGATCCAATCGGTCTTAGGACTAACGATCCTATAATGGTGATAACCTTTTAAAAGGAATTAACCGATCAAGTTTATGTTATCTTATAGACACAATAAATCTTTTTCAATTTGTTTCAATAAAATCACTGTATAACTCTTGTAACCGTTATTTTAATTAATATTAAAGCTTTTCATGATGAAGGAATCTATTAGCTTAAAATAAGAAACTCAAAACACTATAGATTCTTCATTCCTAATATTTTTGCAAATTATTAAATCATGACATATAATAAAGTTTAACAATTACACTAATAGAAAAGTTTAAAGTTTGTGATTCAAAAATGTTATGTTCCTTCAAATTTCCGTCAACTCTAACATTAAAATTTAGACAGATTTAAAGTTGCAATATTCAACATTAATATTCAGTTTACAGACGCTTGCTCTTAATTGAATCTACAGCAAAGCCGTTGAAGGAAACTTTTATCATTGCTTAATATTTGAATGTCAGAGTTGAAGTAATTTTATATTTCTACGAAGAGGATAATTATTTTTCGGAAACAATTTGTTTTAATTCAACAGAAAGAGGTTTATTTACAGCTAGAAAATAATATTTCTTAATTACAGCTTTTGTACGTACAATTAATAAATGATACAAGGTGATAAGACAATTGGCGAACCCTTCGCGTTTTTATATATTCAAAATTTAATTAAAAAAAATGTGTTCGGTTTCAGACAATAAAATTACGTTGTATCAAATTTTTAAGTTGGAATCTGTAAAATGATATTAAAAAAGCCAGTACTAATGAATACAAAAGAAAATACATAATTAAATTAACTTTGTCATAACCTTAGTTGAAGAATTGGAGAAGTTAAAAAGAAACGTCGAAAAATGTACCTATTACAGAACATTTCTAAAAACTCGCTTGTAGTTTAGATACGTATTGTAATGTTTGTGGGTTTAACAAATTAAATTTTAAGAAGAAAATTATTTATTTACACTAATTATTGTTGAACTTAAAAACACTGTTAAATTATTCACTAAACTTAGGTAATTATTCTAGTTATTTACACTACTGTTACTATTCACTGTTCTATTTATTTCTACTCCACTTCGGCTATCGTCTCTTCCTTTTTATACTCCCTTGCCTTCTTTCGGGAACATTCTCCAGCCGTCCAGAGAAGTCTCGTTTTCTTTGAACGGTTTAATTGCTTTCCCGGAACGCAGGTACGACACACACGTTTGCAGCGGCTAGTCGGCGAATCGATAAGCCGCTCACACACACGTATGCCCGATCGCACACAATCATGCTCGTGGTCGCTACAGTATATAATGTAAAACTGGAAATGTCTCTTTTCCTATGATGTTTTCCCGAAAAACATGTAGTTTGTAGCTAAAGAGTTGATATTGTGTTTAGATAATGCAACTAATTTAGATTTCCTGCTATTCAAACTTACGTTCAAGTTTTAGTTCTGACATTCAGTAGCAATTTGCGAGATTGTGTTGTAAGTGTATTAGAGAGATGATTTATGTGACACATTTTGTTGCAGCTTCCCGCAAGGAGTTGGATAGAAGCAAACTTCCAGAAACGGGAATGTTGCAAATTTATTCAGGATCCCAAAGATGAACTCAGGTAAAAAATACTTTATGCTCACTAGTTTGTAAGTTAATAAGGAGGGCAAAGTTCAAATTCATAGTTTCGTAATAAGTTAAAATTTCTTGTGATAGACGCAGTGACGTCAAAAAAGTGAAAAATTGCGTTAGAACCATGATAATATAAGCAAATATTTGGTTTATACAGGTTTAGTGTTTACACAAAATGTGTAATATGTATATATATGTTCATATTTATACGTAGGTAATCGCTGTAAATTTTTAGTACCTATCATTAATTTATGTTTTTAAATTAAACAAAATTATTTCAATACTAGTTAAAAGTCGTTAAAAACTGTAATAGAGCAGGTTTACATGCATTATATCATCTGATATAATGTTGAAGACGTAGAAGCGGTTTATGCAGATCTATATCTCACGTGTTAAGTTTAGTTAAAAAGCAGGAAAACGTAACAGTTGTAGAAGACTTCAACGCAGTAATAGGTGAAGGTAAAAGACGGTGCAATAGCGGGTTCTTTTAGATTAGGTAATAGAAATGATAGCGGAGATAGACTGATAGAATTTTGCAATAAACATAACTTAACCGTCGCGAATACTTTAACTTTAACCATCACGTTAGGAGACGCTATACCTACGTGGAAGATGGCAGGTGATTTAGGAAGATATCAGTTAGATTACATACTTGTTAGGTCAAGATTTAAAAATCAAGTGAAAGCCTGTAGGAGTTATATAGATAGCGATCATAACGTAGTAGTTATGAAGACCTATCTTAAATTGAAAATTCTGAAAAAGAAGAAAGGTAGGAGACGTCTTGACTTAGAAAAGCTAAAATGTAGCGAAACGCGGGATACAAGGACAAAGGAAATACTAAAGGAGCTGGGAGAAACGAATGACAGGAACGTAGAGACAGAATAAAACTCCAGTAAAACGTGCTTAAAGTCAGCAGATACAGGTGTATTAAGTCTTAAACAAAACGAAAGTAGGGAAAGTGGTTGATTGTAGGTATTTAGGAAGTCAAGACGGAAGGAATAGTAGGGATATAAAGCAGAGGATAGCGCAGGTTCAAGTCGCCTTCAATAAAAAGAAGTCACTTCTATGCTCGCGAACGGTTAATTTAGATATTCGAAAAAGGTTGTTAAAGGTGTACATTTGGAGCGCGGCGCTGTACGGGTGCGAAACATGGACGGTGAGCGTGGCGGAAAAGAAAAGGTTAGAAGTTTTCGAAATGGATAGAGAAAGTTAGAAATGAAGAGATGTTAGAAAAAATAGGAGAACAGTGGACTCTAGGTCTAGTCAGAGACATATTAGAGGCAGAAACAGAAGTTAAGAGAAGTAGAGGTAGACCCAAATTACTGTTCGCAGATAGTGAAGGGTTGTTATAGTTGAAGGTGCGTGTTCAACCAGCCTTAGGACTGACGACCTTATGATGGTGATGAATAACAATATTTATTAATAATTTTTCAATGCAGGTTTAATAATTTTTATTAATAAAAAAATAATACTTAATCAACAGAAGGTAATACATATAGTCAAACTCGGTCCAACCTTGGATGAACTCCGTTCAACCAAAGTTGAACAACTCAATGTTGGGCAAAAGTTCATCCAATCGTCTACTCTGGCAGTTTCTACATAGGATTTAATTACAATATTATCTTACAAATAAGAAAATGAATTTAATGAAAACAAAATAAATGAGCAATTTCAAATTCATATCTTATTGGTTTATAATCTTCATCCATTTTCCAATAACTTTGTCGTGCTAACTTAATATACGTCTGTCGTTTGGTGTCCCATTGTTTGCAACTAATTAATTATCAATTACACATCAAAGAGGGCATTGCTTTGATCGATTTAGTTAGTATCATTTGCTGTGAGATATAATTAGAAACCAATGGATTATTTGACCCATTTATTACCCTGTGTACAATAAACAATAGAAAATAGGCAAAAAATCTAAGCAAAACGTTTTTATGGTACATGAGTAAATATTTTATAGTAAAAGGTATAAAATTTTCTTTATCTACTGCATATACTGTTTATTATCGTTCTACAAGATAGAGACCTGGTCTGTCAACCAACCATTCGCATAAGAATTTAGTGCTTTTTTGTGATTTAATTAGTGATGAGTTTGTATATTTGAACCATGTGTTACCTTGACATAAGAATAAAGAACATTCATTCCGAGAACATTCTTGTAGATCCCTTTTTTTTAAACAATGGTAAAATTTCTTTTTTTTATATATTTAGTGTTAAAATCAAGTAAAGCACTAAATTTTCATGTCGTCAAGTCGTTTTGCGATTTTGTGATGAGGGTGTGGCAGCTTGACAGACATCTAATTATGTGAATACTTGTTGGTAAAGCAATTCAAACTTAATATTGAAAATCATCTCTCAAAGTCCCAGTAATCATTCAACGACTGACAAGTTCTAGTATTATTCTTTAATTGCAAGTTTGTTTCTCCCAACAGTAAAAACTTTTCTGTGGAACACAATCATCCCTTTGTTTTTGAAATTGCTTTTAGAACTTTGTTCCAATAGAACAAGAAAAAGCAAGAAGAAAACTTTGTCTGTTACAACCGCAATCCTTGTATTAAATAATAATAATAAATGACCGATTTGAAAAACCGTGAAACTAAATTCTGATATGTCGTACGTTGATATACGGTTAAAAATTAGGATTCACTTGTAATAAAAAAACAAATATCAAGCAATCGGCTGTGATGAACAAATTTTAATTTAGGAAAGTAAATGGATTAGATGCGTATAATATTAGCAAGACAACAGCTAAGACGATTGTTATTAATAATAAAATAATTTGTGACAACAGTTAGCCTGATGAGAATTTGCCGTAACAAAATATAGGGTTGTTCGGAAAGTCATTTCGTTTTTTTTTTTGGGGAAATGAAAGACAGTTTTCGTATAATAAACAAATACTTTATTAAATTATATATTGACCGTTCTGGTCTAACACCTTTTGCCATCTTTCTGGTAGTAGCATAATTCCACGCTCATAAAATTTTTGGTCTTTGCTGGCAAAAAACTGATCGAGGAGGTTTTTGACCTCCTCATTTGAGGTGAAGGTTTTACCGTCTAAAAAATTTTGGAGTGACCGGAACAAATAATAATCCGATGGTGCCAGGTCTGGAGAATATGGTGGGTGTAGCATTGTATCCCATTCAAGCTGTAAAAGCTTTTGGCGAGTGACCAAACTTGTGTGAGGTCTCGCGTTGTCTTGGTGAAACACTACACCTTTCCTGTTGATTAGTTCTGACCTTTTCTGTTGAAGTGCATCATTCAGTTTGTCCAGCTGATGACAGTAGACTTCCGAATTAATCGTTGTGTTATCCGGTAAAAGCTCAAAAAAAACGATTCCTTTAAAATCCCACCAAACAGACAGCATCACCTTTTTTTGGTGAATATCGGCTTTGGAAATGGTTTGAGCCGGTTCATCTTTTTTGCTCCATGACCTCTTGCGTTTGACGTTGTTGTATACAACCCATTTTTCGTCCCCAGTGATGATGCGCTTCAAAAACGGATCATTTTCGTGACGTTTGAGAAGCGAATCGCAGACGTCAATGCGGCGACACAGATTTCTCTCTGTGAGAACATGGGGAACCCATACATCGAGCTTCGAGGATAATCCCAGGCCTTTCAAGTGGTCATAAACTGTTGAATTTGATAAATTTAACCTCAATCCGATCTCACGTGTTGTTATTCGCCGGTTCACATCAACTAATGCCTTTATCGCGTCTTTATCAGCTTCAACCGGCCTTCCCGAACGTGGTGCATCTTCGACATCAAAATTGCCGGATCGAAATTTAGCGAACCAGTTCTGGCACTGGCGTACTGTCAACACACCTTCTCCATACACATCAGTCAATTTCTTTCTGGCTTGAACAGCATTTTTACCCTTTCTGTAGTAAAACAGTAAGATATGTCGAAAATGCTGCTTATCGCTCTCCATATTTAAAAGGGCACCAACCAAAAACTACTGCGTAGAATTAATTGGAATTTTTCACACACAAGCCTTGCTATATGAGCTCTCAAAGCATATAAGAAGTATACGGCTTAAATGTGAAGTTGGGTGCAAAAGAATACAATTAAATCGTCTGTCGGGAAAAAACGAAATGACTTTCCGAACAACCCGATAGCAATGCGCGAAATTGCTACAAATGTAGTTTTACCCCCACTCCAGAAGTTCAAAAATAATTCACACAAAGTTTACAGCAAACTCCCATAAGTAATTTGCTCGTGGTAAAACGAAATCTTACCTCCCTTCGGGGGGTGATTTGGTGCTAATCCCTAAATAAAAATTTCTTTTGCGAAATCAGTGGAAAATTTTATCCCCAAAAGTTCTCGAAGTTCAAAAATAATTTACACAAAATTTACGGCAAACTCCCATAAATAATTTGCTCGTGGTAAAGGATGATTAGCTGCTAATCCCTAAAAAATCACTTCGAATTCAAAAGATTAATGGTTAGTGATTTCAAGAAAATATGAAAATCGATTTCAGTTTCCAAACTGATTAAATCACAAATGTTGCTTAAGTTCAACGTCCTTGTTCGCATGATCAATTTTGATAATTAACCGCCAGTATCGTCGTGTATGCAGTTACGTTTCGAGCATCTTCTGTTTTTAGGTACATATCTACAAATACATACGTGTATTTGTGTCTACATATACGTATGTATGTAGCAATCTCAGTCAGTTAATTTGCTTTCCAGTTGTATAGCAAACAACTACCCATCAAATAATCTTAACCTAAGGACTATTTCGGTGTAGATTAGATTGAACGGCAACATTAATTTGAAAGCAGACGTTTAAATCGTGCGGATAATATTGGATTTCCAAAATTAACCCCTATGTTGGTGTAATAAATTACTACATTTTACACCCCGTTGCCTCCAACCGTAAAAATATCCTAACACTAAATTTATAGAACGGAATTGTTTTAGTCTTTTAGTTAGAATTAATAATGACTGATCGAAACGTATTTTTTAAGGGAAAAATAATGACCGA